TTTCTCCTACTATGAGGGGAGGGACATCTTCCTCTTCCCAGATTACACCTAAAATTTATTCATTTTGGTATAGACTACTACCCGCTTTGATGAAGGATTAGAACGCTCTATTTATAGTAGGTGCTTAAAGACTGGGCTTCCTGAACCTGTGGAAAACAAATGCGCCAGATTTTATTCCTTTGTTCTTTTAATAAACTGTCCGTGAGATGCTTCCCCTCCCCTCCTTTCCTGCTGGTTTACTTGCATTCTTGTATGTTCAGTGTTTTTCTCTTCTGTCTTTGTTCCAGTTTATCAGCAATTTACACACAGTTGTTTCCCAGACTCCACAATTTCAACAGCAAAAATAACACTGACCTTTTGAGCCCATGAGCAATTTTGTTGGTGGTGATTTAGCAGAAAGTTACAGTAATGAACAAGAATGCTGCTCTTAAATGTTAGGTCATTAAATGTGTTTTATGAGTGTTTATTACTTCTTTAGTGCACTTCCTGTGCACCAGGGAGATAGCCATATTCCAGGGAAGAACGAAGTTCTTAATTGGCAAAAGTGGTCAATTTGTGAATCTCTTCTGCTGTAAAGATATATTTTCAGGTGTGATTTAGTCAAAGCAAGCAAGGAGAATATTTCTAGCTAGAAAGACAATAGCACTAACAACAGAAGGACTCTTCCAAAGGTACGTTAACTCTTTGAAAATTGTGAGCTGGGCTTTTCTTGTGGGAGGGAGGCAAGGAGGGAGGGGAAGGTGACTGAAAACTTAACATTTCGCTCCTCAGACTTGGGGCTGGTTAAGGACTGCTTTGGTCCCAGACATGCCTGAGAGCAGATAAAATGTGTTGTCAACAATAAACTTCCTCAGTTTTCAGCCACTTCCTCTCACTCAGCCTTCAGAACAGCAGGAAGCCAAAAGCAGATGACACAAAGCCAACTATATGAGGTTTACAATTTGGCTCTCGTACTCTGTAGGTGATTGTACCTGTGGCTTCTGCAGAGTCCACGGGAAAGGCAGGGAATCTAAATGTAGACCGGAATTTTCCATCCGTATCAAAATCTTCAACTTTGCTTTGGCTTAAGTTTATGTACAGGCCCATTTTAAAACTGGTAAGAATACTTGTAAAGATTTAAGTAGAATTAGGAAAAGAGCTCTTTGTAACCAGTGTAAGGCACCCCCCCAAAAAAAAACCCAACAACCAAACCCAAAAAGCCCCACCAAAGTGTTATTAGCAAGAGGTCATGGTACAAAGGAGTGACTTTAAAACAGAGAATGTTGGTTGTCCTACATCACAGCACCCTTAAAGTTCATTTGTCTCAAGTATAAACCAAAATAGGACAGAAAGGAAGTTTACCAACTGTCTTCCTTCTTTTAACTGTGTATTAAGTAGCATGACACTAGTGCTTATCTTCCCCCTGTATTTTAGACCTGTCTCCTCTCTTACAATTTTTATTATGCTAGGTACCCTTCACTGCCTGGCTTTTACACTTGGAATGTTTTGAATCAGGTGTGTTCCAAGAGAATTGATTTATATCTTCTTATGAAGCAAAGGAATCTGTATTTGAGGTGAAGCAATGTAAAGATCTATTTCATGATCTACTTTGCAGTACAATCCAGTACTTTATTTCGTGGCCACTGGAAAAGGACAGTGTAGAAGGTCATTTTAAAGGGTGTTGCAGCATCTAGAAAGCAAGCTTAGACAGAGCATCAATATCATGTGGCCTTGCGGGACACATCTGACTCCACGTCCACCTAAATCCCTTGATAGGTGTTACTGACAAGTAGCATGACCCTGTGGGTGATCTGAGACAGTTATTGCATTAGGGACACAAGTGATTAATTTATTTAGCTGCTCTGGGGAGCCCTGTGTGACCCATTTCAAGGAATAACAGGAGAAGAACGTGTCTGGAAACATGACTTGCATGATAGCAGCAGGGTTTGTAAGAGGCTGGGTGTTTCAGAGGGAGTATATGTGCATACTACTAACTTAGGAAGGAAAGACAGAAACGCTGCCTACAATCCTGCCTACTAGCTCTGATACGTGGTGCTGTTCAGCCGTCGCTCCTATCTTGAGTTACAGTGGAAAGACTTTGTTTGTTTGTTTAAATCTTTTCTTGGGTCTTTCCCAATTTTAGCCTGAACTCTTGATATTTGGCTCTTAAATTCATTCTCCAGGGTGCTTCTGACTAATGCCAGGGTGCTATTGTGGGGTTTTACAGGAACTCTCAGGAACAGCCTTGCAGCACAGAGTGTGTGGACCAGTATTATCAAAACCTAGTTTTAGCTCTGAGATGGTATCTGTGTAACACAAGGTTTCAGCACAGAAGCACACAAGAACTGCTTTCTGCACCGATTACACTGTGTGGTCCTGACTTCTATATCCGCCCTTCTGGACCACCCTGACTGAGGGCAATAGAGATGAAAAGCGTGCATACTTCAGAACTGTTTTGTAGGAATTTTCCCTTGTTTTAAAGAACTTTTGTTCTAGAAAATACTTATTTTCCCCTAAACCATTTATTACAGCCTGGATTCATACCAAAACGTTCAGCTACTTCCCAAAATGATTACTTGGTCCAGGTAATGCAAAACTGGGAAGAAGTTCAAATACAGAGGTTTGAAGAAGTCAAAAGCAGAACTGGGATCTGGATTCAAGCACCATACTTAACAGATAATTGCAATGACTGAGGTGGAACATTTAGACTTAAATCCAAGTTCTCTAATATGCTTTGTCTGGGATATGGAAGGCATCTTCCTTTATTAGGTTACTTTCCTGCTCAACATTAACATTTCGTGCTTTGAAGGTTTATTGTGTTGGCTAGAGTTATACCTTTATATACGCGTAGTCCCTACGGAATAGCCTGATCTCCTTTCATCATTATTAGTAATTCTAGGCTTGTCATTTCCTATTCACGCAGTCTGGACCTCACTGCGTTGTTGCAGGGTGGTTGATACGGTGCACAGGAAATGTACTGCTTTTTCAGGTCTCGACTGTTCGTGAGTATTCTTTTCAGGGGCTTCAGTTTTATTGCGATGAAGTCCATTTCCTACATGTAGTACAATTTACTAAATTACAAACAAACAAGGCACCAATAGAGAAGTCAGTGAAAGTTCACACTAAGAATAGAAGCTTGAAGAGAAAAGTTCAGTTATGTGACCTTCTTCAGGAGCTGGATACAAAATAGACCTGCTGTTTTTCCCTTTAATTTGCAGTCCAGGCAGAAAAGAACTTGAACAGTTCCCAGAGAAACCAGGCCCTTCTGTTTGTTTCTATGAATCCTCCAGAAATGCTTTATCTGTTGACATTCTGGGTATACTGATATGGAAACGAACTCACTTGTTCTCCTAATTTCCCTCCTGTATTGTCATCTGATTTTTACATTGATCTCCTGTTTTGCAATGTTTAAAGATCTGCCAGCCTTGAAGGAACAAAATGTTACTGATACATACCCTGAAAATGGGCCATTAAAGCAAATTAGGATCATCAGATGAAAAATACCATCTAAGTATCAGTCACTGCTTATTATTGCCCTTCAGAAATATGTTTGGGAAAGAAAAATAATTCCTAAGAACAGGTTTTTAGGCCCTTGGTCATGAACAGGGAGATGCTACACTGATGGTTCAGGGCAAATACACAATGTACTAGCTATCCAGACTTTAAAAAAAGTTCCTTCCTTTCAAATGATCAGGTTTTTTTTCTTCTCCTTTGTATTCACCATTTTTTGCTTTATAACTTACTATCATCCCTACTTTCAGTTTACCTTGAAAATTCCCCCAAAGATTAAAGGATTTTCCCCAATTGCTGTGTAAAGGAGTTAGTCTGGTCTTCAGGAGTTATTCTAAAGAGTTCCTGACCCTAACAAAGCAGCAGAGCTGCACGTCCGTCTGCCCTGGTGCACTTGGCATACAGAGCATCGCTGCAACTTTTGCGGTTAAAAAGGGTGGATTAGAGTCAAAGAATCACGTATCTCAAAATGCCTTTATGAAACCAGACTATCCCTGGACGCGTTCTGTTTAAATATTAGACACTTTCTCCTTGACATTCTTTTTTTATTTGGCTAAAAAAGGCTTAATATTTAACTCAAAATACCTAACAACTGCAAATGCTAAGTGCTGAATGTTGTTACATCCTCCAGAAGATACATAAAGCTCTCCTTAAACTCAGCGTGGTATATTTAGACAAATGTAACCATCCCTGGACTCAGTGCTTCATTTGAATGAGAAAACCAGTTCCTATGTTGGGATTTTCAGTTGCATTTTGAAAGAGAAGGCATAGCCAATAGTTCAGTGGGAATAAGTGGTTTAAACTAGCTGTCCACTTGGTACCTGCAGAAGGAAATATCCTTTATTCAGATGCACTTTTTTTTTGTCCCAGATCAAGGTCTTAATTTGTTCAATCCTTTGTCTGACATTAACTTTGGTTTTAGGATGAATTTCCAATTATATTGGGCCTCAAATTCATGTTAAAGACAAAATTATTTTTTATTATTGGTTCCTGTTCAGAGTCTTATTACAACTAAAATTGACACACACATCCGTGAAAACCATTGCTATTTTATGACCTCTTATTTCTAAGCCTTTTTGTTGAGTGGTATCATCATAAAAAGCTCCTAAAGATGTTCTGCTTTTAGAGGAGTTATTTCTGAGACTGAGGAGTTGGTCCAGAAGTGGCAGGTAGCAGGGAAAGGCCATATCCATGCCTCTTTAACCCTTTGGGGCATCTCAGGGTTAGCCACCAATGCACAGGGCGCACAACCCAACCAGCCCTGCTGCTGCCTGTGCCTCCGGGATTCGGCTCCAGCCCCTCGCCCCCCGCCGCTCCATGCCTCCCTCGCCATGGCGGAGAACCTCTGCCGCGCCACAGGTGAGCCGCGCCCGCCAAAACCCCTCTGAGGAGAAGGGGGCGTGGCCCGGCGGGGGCCGCTCGGAGGGGTAAAGGTCGCGGGGGCGCGCGTGTGCCTAACGGTCAGCGCGTGCCTAGCCGTTTGCGCGCCTCGTCCCGTTTCGCGCCGCGCCATGGCGGGATTCCTGGAGTCGCTGGAGTCGTGCTTGGAGCGGCACATCCCGTGCGAGGACCTCGCCGAGGTGAAGCGGGTCCTCTCCCGGGGGGAGGCAA